TGGTGGAGGAAGATAGAATTAGTAAAAAGTAAAATGAAATAATTCTGATTAAATTATTCAATTACATTAACCTATTCTTTTTAACTCTTTAAGCTTATATGACTCTTGTGTGAACGAAAAGCCAACTCTGAATGCAAGCAAGTCACCAACCTTTGTCCGTGAAACTGAAATCCTTTTTTGCCAGCCTCCCATGGGAGGAACTGATTGGGTTGATCCTTGAAGAATGATGAGTTTCAGACTTAACTTGGAATGAGGGCATTCTAGCAAGAGATAATAACATAAAGAAAGCATGGGAACAAACTTGAAAATGTAAACAAGGGCCTTAAAGTGTGGAATGTAAAGTATGGCCAAAATGTAAAGTTTTGAGAAGAGGGCTCAAAAATCAGAATTTCTGAGAAACCTGGTTGCCTACCTAAGAAGTTTTGATGTGTTTAATAGGAAATAGAGACTTTGGGAGAATTTTGAACAAAGCAGAGCTTTAGAAGGATGATTCACTTGATGGAAATAATACATTTTTCCCTTCCACTGTGAAGTATACAGAAGGAAAGATTATCACACACTTTCAAATCACCCCATTTTACATTAATAGTGCAACTAAAAATTTTGATTGAAAGACATTGAGAAGGATAGAATGTAGTCTAGAGTTAACCTTGGATAATGATTATTCAAATATTTTTTCCTTCATATCATGAATATAGAAAATTAGTTCACCAAATAAAGGTTTGTTATATTTTTTTTCTAGACCATCTCTGAGATGTTAAAATAATTTTCCCTTGACATATAGGAAAACAAAAGCTCAATGGAAATTCCTTCCCCCAAAAAGTCAAGTTAAAACTTGACTCTCTGACTTAAAAAAATAATAATAATAATCTGGAATAAAGTTTTATCCTTCACAGCAGCCATCTATTTTTCTATCTTATGCAATGGTTTCTGAGGACTGCTGGTATTTGTAAAATTAACTATCTAAAGTGTTAACTATTGGTAAATGATCCCAGAGATCTTTGGCATGAAGTATTTTGTAATTTTGTTAAAGCATAAATGTGCATCACACAGACTAGGTGGGTGTTTAGGTGCAAGTTGTCAGGCTAGAGCATAAATCTTACTGAGCATCAATCATCCAATGCCCAAAGTGATTTCCATTACTGTCTATTTGGCCATCAAGCAAAATGGTGAATGTCATCCTCTACCTTATTTGAAACAAAAGCAATATACTCTGAAGCTATTGCAAATATGGAAATATGTAAAGAATATGCCATTAATCCATGTCAAAGGTCTGCTTCACGTTATGAATTGAACAGACATTGAAAGTCTCCCATTGAAAAAGGCCAGCTAATTGTTTCACTAGAAAATCTATGATTCTTTAGAAAATCTGGGGAAAATCAACAAAAGGCAGCCTTTAAGTTTTAGGATTTTAAAATTTAAATTGTCTCTAAGTAATGCTGGCAATGTGCCCCCTTGGGGTTTGAATCATTTGTTTTAGAAATCATAAAAATTGCCAGTTGATTAAATGTTAGAGTCAAACAGATTCATGCAATTGAATTTGGAATTTCCATTTTTGCAACGAGTGAATCAGATTTAACATTGAGCTTTTGATCACTGGGTAATGAGTCACTTGATTTGTACTCTAATGATCTCTAAATTAAAATTTGCAAATGAAATATGAGACCCTATATGTCCCCAAGGATTAGGAAAAGTGGCTTAGATGAATTCTATTTCATTGCCAAAATAGAGACTAACGGAAGATAATTAAAAGTATTATTATTTGAAATAATAGAATTATTTGCTTTCTAAAAATAATTTATCTATGAGGATTGAAATGTAATGGCCCTTGTTGACTTAAAGTTATTGGCATCTACATTTTATGTGAAATTCTTAGCCCGCCACTACATTTATTGTTAGATACACACTCTGTGATATTCCCCCCCCTTCTTTTTAAATTGGGATTTTTATCATGCCCTAAAGAGTGACCCAATCATCATGTTTTCTGACTTCAGATTTTGACAAGAAGCCCTTCCCTTGGGCTGCCAATGAGAGCTGTCAATATTTGCCTGTAAGGGACAAGCTCTCGTCAGTGTCAGACAGGCACTGCAATTTAAGCTTTGTCTGGTTAAAAATAGTCAGGATTCAATGTCATCTTGAAATTTTTACTCTTTTTTGCAAACACCAAGAGATGTGATACCACTCTTGGAGATGGCTGTATATCTAGGATGTATTTATTTAGCATTTTTTATAAGAGGACAAACTTGGGGCGCCTGGGTGGCTCAGTCTTTAAGCGTCTGCCTTTGGCTCAGGTCATGATCCCAGGGTCCTGGGATCGAGCCCCGCATTGGGCTCCCTGCTCAGCAGGAGGCCTGCTTCTCCCTCTCCCACTCCCCCTGCTTTTGTTCTCTCTCTTGCTGTGTCTCTCTCTGTCAAATAAATAAATAAAATCTTAAAAAAACATAAGAGGACAAACTTTCTCCGAAAGCATTGAAAACATAATTTCTCTTTAACTATTAAGGGCACATGGGGAAAGGAGTAGAAGTGGCCAAAGTAAAATCAAACAAACAAACACAAAAATAAACCTTTCTTTCCATGCTCATGTGCTCTCCAAAACATGCAAATTTTAAGATACATAGAAGTCATCACAAGAGCTATTACTTTGCACATTACATTACACCAGAATAATATCTGTCCAGATTTAGATTTGCTATTGTCTTCAAGATGAATACTGAACTTTCTGAAAATAGAAATAAAACACCTAACCTCAAATCTTTTGGACCTAGCCAAGGCCTGGACTACTTCTACATGACCTACTATAAGTCAGTTAACTAGTGGCCCTTGATTTGCTCCCCTCTAAAATAATGGAAAGAATGCTTTTGCACCAACCATCCAAGGGTTATGGCTATTTATGAGCAGCTGTCAGCAAGAAGACTTTCAGAAGACCACTGAGCCAAATCTGCAAGGCAATAGTGAAGCCCTGTCAGCAGAGGAGGCCCTGAGCCCCCTTGTTGACCCTCTTGGGAAAGCAAGGGTTCTGCTGGATGAGTGAGAACCCTCATCTGTGGCATTCAGCCCATCCAGTCATGAACCTCACCTGTGCCAGGTGGACCAATAATACAATCAAGTGTACCAGGTGATTTATAATTGTGATGGCTGACACTGTAGGATTGAACGGGAGTAGGGCAAGAACTATACTGAACTACACTATTGGACCTTTTATAGAGTGGAAACTGAGTCCCAGTGTTGCCCACAATATTGGAAGCCTCCCAGTCACAGATAATCCAACTTTTATTTTTCTTCTAATTGTTTCCAGGTTACAACTGCCTATAACTTAGATATCTAAAGTTCTTGAGCATTTGGCCCTTGGGGATTCAGGGGACTAGGGCTCATATTAAATGATAGATCTGTTCTTCAATTCCAGTGTTAATTTTTTTCTCTTAAATGATTATGTAGGTGGAAGGAATTTTTGAGCCTCCTTGGCACTAACCCATTCTGGCTCCCTATGCCCAGCATACTGAAAGAAAAATGCACAGTGAAGTTACCTCCAATTCTTTTTAGGTTAGGATTTTAAACAAGAAGATCGATTTTAGCAAGGTTCAGTCCCGATGTGGTTCCAAGGATAACATCAAACATTCTGCTGGGGGCGGAAATGTAAGTAGAAGCTTCTATTAGAAAGCTATCCTGATTGTGTGGAGCCATCTGCACAGCCAGCCTCCCGTCTCTTTTCCTGCCTCTCTCCCAATACACACCCCACTACTTGTTGCTGCTCCACATGTCCCCTGGTCTGGGAGCTTGTCACCCTTGCATTTTTGCTGGTGGGCTTCCCATCCTTCCCTGAAAGATTTATCAGCAAATTTCTTGCTTTCAGTTGAGGAATAAAACCTTACTGGGCTGCATCATGTCTTTCAGGGGGATGGCAAACCCACCTCACTTGCCAATTTTGTTTGCTGGCCTTTGGCTTCAAGGTATTTCCTCATGCTGTCTCTACTCCCCTACAAACATCAGCTGGGCACACACTTTTACAGCTCCATTTCAATTACTCTTGAGGAAAAGACTGATATACTTGAAAGTACCCAAAGTGTGTAATGTCAATCTTTTGTGCATCACTATTCATGAGAGTTAGGGTATCATTTGGAATAATGCAAAACTAGTGAAGCACAGTTCATCTGTCATTCAAAGTGAAAGGCTTCAAGTCCCAGTATAAACTTTGTCTTGATGGGATTTTTTTTTCTGTGTCTTGAATTGAGTGGAAATAATATCCTTTGAGAGGAAGGGAAAGATGAATCCATGTTTCTCAGAGTTAAGGCAGAGCTGAAACAGTGAAACTCAAGGTAAAGGAAGCATGGTTCTTCACAAAATATGAATAATAAAGGTGACCCAGGCTGATTCTCTATTCTATGGATCCTTGTCACCTAAACCTCAGATTCTGGCCATCTGTGACTCAGTTTACAGAGTGTCAAGTCCAGAATTCTCGCCTGTTAATAACTCTTGCCTCCTGGCTCCTCAGCTGGAGGAGTCAAGCAGTGAAAGGGGAGACAAGCCAGTGCCTTCTACCAGGAACTGTCACCTGTTCTTTTTCTTATATCTTAAAGCAATGTTGATCTTCTTGTAACTATGAGCAATGTTGGTCACTTTTATGTAAAAATCATTTTTAAGAAAATAATTCATCTCTTCACTTGGCTCTTTGCTTATGGAAAGGTTTAACATGGTGTGGCTTTGCTCTCTGAGTGGAAGCTTGCCTTATTAATCCAGGTGTTTCTATCCTCTTGTGACATGATCTGTTTTCTACTAATAAAATCTTCTAATCTAGGATTTTCTTTCATTTTGGTCCTTCTTTCCAACCAAATGTGGGAGTACACTAGGAGGTTATGTTTTCCTATGTGTGTGTATGTACTTGAGTTTGGGTTTCTGTGTTGTCGTATGTTGTGCGTTTGGGTATGTTTCTGGATTTTATGTATGAGCTTGGGGGCTTGCCCATGTCTCAGCCATTTTAAGCTTATTTTATATGGTTCATACAGGTACAGATTGTTACCAAGAAGATAGACCTAAGCCATGTGACATCCAAATGTGGCTCTCTGAAGAACATCCGCCACAGGCCAGGTAAATAAATACTTCTTGGTAGTTTGGGAAATATTAAATTTCTTAAGAAATCAACAAGCAAAATTTTGTTGTGAAATACCTCATTGGAAAAATGTCTCAAAATCCTGAAAACTCATGCTTTTATTAATAGAAACTTAAGTTAGAAACTTTAAGGCATCTTCATTTGGGCAATAAACTCAATTACACAAGGAGGCACATATCATAGGACACGTTCAAAATTAAAAGGTATATAAGATGCACTTATCTCTATGTACTCAACATGCTTATTGGAGCTCTTTTGAAATATATGGTCTATAAAATACCTTGGGCCATGTATTCATACATAATTACATGGATTGAAAGCAGCACTTCCAAAGATTTTTCATGGAAGTATTTTGTCTTCATATGTGAAAGAAGGATTGTGTTTAAGCAAAGCTGATGAAAGTATCTGCTAAATTTCTCAGATCCTATAGTAGGTCAGTAAGCATTATGAATCCTCAGCAGAATGCAGTGCTTAATTGACCCATCGCTTGACGCAGTGCTTGGCCCAACTTATTTAACCATTGGCCTCTTGTTTTTCTATAGGACTAGTGATCTAAAGTACAATTTACATTCATACTTGTTGGGGATTTTTTCCTCTTTAAAGTGTAAATCTAACATAAGTCATTTTTTCTGAGTATCATTATTATATATTTTTGCTAACTTCTACCTCCATGCATATGTAAATAATGGACAACTGTCAAATTTGTCATTTTCTTGAGAATATTTTGACACAATATATACCATTGAATTATAGATGGACAAGAGGAAGCCTTTGGCGTGCTTGATATCTTAATTAAACCATGTAATAGGTTATTCCCATTAATCACTGTCTCAAATGTTATCAGAAACAAAGTATAAGAACAATCAAGCCCAGAAAGATTTCTGACCAAGAAAAGATTATTAAGAAGAATTTATTTGTTGAAAAATAAAGGTAGATAGGATAAGTTTCAAAATGGATAAATGCACTGGAAACATGTCTAGAAGTCAGGCTTCATTCACTTTGACAAAGGGTGTTCATAAAGCAAGTCAAGGAGTTAGATAATACATATACAGAATCTCTACTGGTTCACAACCCTCTTGGGAGCTTCCCTGGTGTAATCTGAAACTGGCACCTGTACTCAGAAGACAGGGAGAAACTGAAGAAAGAGGTAGGCCACTCCAGGTTAGTAGGTGGCAGTTTTAATAAGTAAAGGGAACTTCATATGAGGCTTCTCTTGGGTAGCAGCAAGATGGATCCTCACACCCGCCCACCAAATCTTAAAAGTTTATAAAGAAGCCTTAACTGGGTTTAGTCATGCATGCAGTGTTGGTGTTCTCAACATCACCTCATTATCTCAAGTCTCTGTCCTTGGAGCAGCCTCTGGGAGCGGGAAAGGCAAGCAGGGGAAGGAATGAGAAGCCTCCGAGTGCCCAGGTCCAGCTTTCAGGTCAATCAGTGTCACGTCTTTTTGTAGATGTTCCCCAACAATCTCCAGTACGAAATTCAGAACCGCTTCCTTGGAATTAGCTTCTCTGTCATTCCTGAGGCGGCAGGGACATGGTCTCATACTGCATATCTTCACAATTCTGCGATCTATAACTCAAGCTTACAAATACTTAGTTGACTCTGCTGTGTCAACAGTAGGAATGAAGTATTTGGCCATACTGCCTATTTTCTTCCAAAATGCAAAAGAAAATATTAGATTCTTTAATTTAGACAGTAAGTATTCCATTAGCCAAATTCAACTGGCCTCTTGATGTACAGGAAAATGTGACATAGTTAAGGAAGTAGTCTATGTAAGATTTATTGGTCATAAAAGACTATTGTCATGGATTCCCACCTATTTCTAAATCTAGATCTTTCTTTTATAAGAACTGAATCAGATAACTAAATTCATAAAGAAGTGTTAACACAATGATCTTTGACAATGGCGAGCTTTTCACAAAGTTACTTTGGAATGTGGAATATCTAAGGAGAAAATAAAGGAAACAGTTCAACACATGGAAGCCCAACTTTAGGACATATGGAGCTTGATAAAGATTATAGTCCTTCACAATTACTGCTCCTGGTAGATGCCAGAATTCTTCAGAGCCAAAGGCATAGATCTGTGAATTCAAATGGGCTTCTCTAACAGTTACATAAAAATTTCTAGTAGGATTTCAACAAAAACAGACTCCTCAAGCTTCCTTTTCTGAACATATTTTGGGTCAATATTACATTTTTTTCTCTCCCTCAAAATAGAGTTCAGTAAAAACTTTAACATGTTTCTAACTCTGTCCAACATATAATCATAAAAGAAAGCTTGCAAAGGTCGTTTCTATTAGAGGCTACCAAAAAAATGGAAAAGACCCCAAGAAAATTGATCTCATCAGGTTGAAACTCAACATCCTCCGGCCTCTAACCAAGATAAGTATGTTTTATGAATCACCTTAATCCCATCACAACTAACACAAGAGACCCACATGGCGAGGTGAAATGTTGGAAGAATAACACTTCCTGCAATAATGCATATTTTGAGGGAGGGACAAGTACATGTCTCCTATAAACACAAGTTAAATAACAGTGTGCACATCCTAAAGCTTCAGGAGAAGAATGAATGGATATATCTTCAAAATGTAATCTAATAACACCATATAATTTCAAGGGGCCCCTAGACAGGTAGTTGGGTGTCAGTATAAATGTCTAGGTATCATATGAGAAAAATACCATAAGGTCTAAGTCTGTGAAGACTTAACAGACCTTTCTTTTGGGCTATCGAGATAAATAAGCATCAAGAGTCCAAAATTAAAAAATCTTCCCCATGTTTCTCCCAAGTCAAAATCCTACAACAGAAGCAGTAATAATCATAGATAGTCATGTCATTTACCACTGGCCTTCCAAAGAAATGCACACAGCCAAAACCAAATTGCTAATCAAAGTGAAAGCAAATCTCAGGTGGTGAGGTAAAAGGGTCTAATTCAGCTTCTTTTCAAGTCAAAGACATCAGCAGACCCTTAAAGGTGCTCAAGGACAGGCTAATGAACAATGGGTACCTACCGGAATTGAACTCCCTGCATTTACAAGCTGGAAAAGGCATACAGAGATAGGGGCACCACTCTGCACTCTCACTACCAGCAGATCCTCATATTTCAGACTAATTAGCATTTAGGAAGATGCCGTGGTCAAAACTGTCACCACATTATCAGATCAAAGTCAGTGTCAGATTGGTCCTATGCCAACTGTACAAGAGTGGGATTTCCTAAGGTTCTCTTCCTGTCGCTCCATTTGCTAATGATAATGGTAAATTCTCAAAGCTCACTGGTTATAAACAACTTAGCTTCCAACTCCAATTTCATCAGTCAAGCCATCAATGTTGAAAATTTACAAATGAATATATTACCCATATGTGTACCATTTCTAACCTAATAGTTTTTGGGGGGTTTTTTGTTGTTGTTTTTTGGGGTTTTTGTTTTTTGTTTTTTTGGAAAAGTGACCTATTACCATGAAGAAGAATAAAGATCTTCATTTCAAGTTAATTTGCTCCCTTAAGAGTAAGAGATTAAATGTTCCAAGTTTTAGAAAGGATGAAATAGGATATTTTCACAGTGTTCTTTTTAGAATTTTTATTATACAGATAAGAAAAGCCCCTCTGATATTTTATGTTAGACATGGGTAGATTATGAAGAAGAATTTATTAGCCAAAAAGCAAAGGTAGATACGATCAGTTTCAAAATAGATAAGTGCATTGGAAACTTATCTGGTAATCAGGCTTCAGTTTGGCTTGGAAGAAAAAGATATTAATATGTAGGTCAAGCCATATAATGGTACAAAAAGGATGTCATTACCTTGGGTGATATGGGAAAAATGATACAGACTAGAAATTCTAAAAAATTCCTTTCACATCCATGGTTAAAAGGATAGTAAATTAAGTCTGTGCTTTATAATGATCTATCTAGTATAATCATTTTTGGGAAATAGTCATCCCAAGTAGAAAATGTCACTGTAGCAAGGCATTTAAAAGCCTTTCTTCTCTCACAGGTGGTGGGCGTGTGAAAATTGAGAGTGTAAAACTGGATTTCAAAGAAAAGGCCCAAGCTAAAGTCGGCTCACTTGACAATGCTCACCATGTACCTGGAGGTGGTAACGTCAAGGTAAGAATCAAGGTTGTAAGCTGATCCTGTCTTCTGCTTTTTAATCCTTCCGAAATACTCCTCATCAAAATGGGTCACGATCAAAGGCCTGGACATGTAGGAAGTAGGAATGGCAGAGCTGAACAAAAGTGACATTAACATCAGCTCTGAGACAATAGTGAAAGGTCTAGGGGCCAGTTAAGATGCTTGAGTTAACAAGGACTGATGTTTGTCTTGAACAGATCGACAGCCAGAAGTTGAACTTCAGAGAGCATGCAAAGGCCCGTGTGGACCACGGAGCTGAGATCATTACGCAATCCCCAGGCAGATCCAGCGTGGCGTCCCCCCGACGACTCAGCAATGTCTCCTCTTCTGGAAGCATCAACCTGCTCGAATCCCCTCAGCTTGCCACTTTGGCCGAGGATGTCACTGCTGCACTCGCTAAGCAGGGCTTGTGAATATTTCTCATTTAGCATTGAAGTAATAATATTTAGGCATGAGCTCTTGGCAGGAGTGGGCTCTGAGCAGGTGTTACATTCATTCTTTACAAACCATAAAATAAATAATCTCATTCCCAAACTGTAGTAATTGTTACAATTTTATAAAAAACAATGAATAGTATATGCAGAAATTGACTTGATTTCCATTTGCAACAGGAAGACACTGGCTTTACATGAGTACAATTGGACAATTATTTTTGCTCTGCTCTGTTTTGCATGGAGTATTATTATTTTAAAAATTGCATTTTTACCTTTCATGTGCCTGAAGGCTATCCATACATTCTGAAAGGCCTTGTTGAAATCCAAGCTGCTCATTCCACTCTTCTGTTGCTGGGTGAAAAGATAAAAGCTGCCCATTTTAACTTATTAGAGGTTAAATTAAATCAAGGAGTCTGATTGCAGGAAGGAAAGAGCATGTAAGAAATAAGGTTTTTTTTTTAAAGTGTTATTTTGTATAAATGGGAAGAAAGATTCAGTTAAGTTATTAACATTTGGGACCTGGATAATTATATCAGAGTATAAGTCAATCCAATAAATTATTTAACTAATTAAAAATAGTTACGAAGCATTTGAGCTGTGGTTGAGGAAGCGATATAAAAGTGCATCTCTTAGGAATGAGGCACTTTCACTAGGATGGACTCGTCTGATTAGAATGTCAGTTGATCAGCTAGATTTGTGTCCACACTACCAGTTTCACACTCCCTTTCCATCTGTTTGATACAGTATTATAGATATAAATATATATATATTTCTCTGTGGCCATTTGTGATACTTCCTCATATACTTGAATATTATACTTCCTTATTCACAGTATCTGTGTCTCCTGCACCCTTTGGTGTTGCAATTTTAGGTATGTGAAAGTAGATGTTAGCAGGGTTCTTTCCCTATTTAAAAAAAAATACATTAAAAAAGAACAAAAAGTTTTAGCATGAAGTTGCTTCCTGTAACAACTCAGAGCTGTAACCCTGTTTTAGTGCCAGATACAAGTCTCTCCCGTGATGCTAGGAAAATTTATTTTTCTTTGCTTTCACCAACATGGAGTTTGTGGGGGTGGGTCCAGTTATACATTAAAAGGGTTTACAGATTGTTGGTTTAAGATTTTGGATTCATCTCATTTTGAATTATGGAATAGTTTGGGTTTTATTCCTGTAATCATTCAAGAAACAGACTTCTTAAGATTTCTTTTTTTTTTTTTTTTCCCTTTGCTAAAGTTGAAACTAACAGAGGGAGTTTGGGACATATTGTCCCACTCTTCCAAACATTGCCTGCTAATTAAATTATCTGAGAGAAAATATTTAGCTTCCTTACCCACAGTAAAGACCCTTGATCAAAAAGGACAAGTACACTCATTTGAGAAGTTATAGCCACACAACACTTGAGATACAGATATCTAAATCAGTTTTTTCAGGATTCCAACATTGCCCTCCGTGAAGGAACACTTTATGACTTAATTATACTGGTGTGACTTAATCTACAGTCTGGGAAATCACCAATTAATTCCTCTCACAAATCATTCATCTTAGACTTGTGAAAAGCAATTAAATAGTCAATGGCCTGAATAAGCAGTCAGTTACCAGTCTGGGTGAGTATTTTTAGTATTTTATCTGTTCTTTTTCTTGCTCGGGGCTGGTAGGTTGGTTCTGAACCATTAAAAGCAAATAGTCTGATAGGTGTCTGATCCCCGTGAGTCGAATCAATTCCTGACTATATAGGAGGAAGTGATGAGCATGGATAAGGCAACGAGGAAGTATCTAGGAAACGAGTAGCATCTAGGAAAGCAGCCAAGGGATGCAAAGACAGAGACACGGGTGCCATTTTGTGACCCACTGGATATTGCAACCAATGTGACTTCCACCAAAAAAAAAAAGCAAAAAACTGTAGGAGCAAAAACATAGCACTCATTCTCAACTAATAGGTTTTGCATAGGCAAACATGTCTGAAAATGTTGATAAATCAATTCTTTTACACAACAGTCAAAAAATTAGAAACTATGGGAGTATGACTATGGATGTGTCTATTTTCTGCCTAATAATTGCTATGATGTGGATTTGACCTATCTGAGCATTGTATTCATCAGCTTCCCTTGAAATGCACTAGAAAATCGCAGAAGAAAGAGTAGTTGTGTGGAGACCTATGGTATTTTCCTACATGTTTGATAGTGTTAGGTAGTGATGAAAGCTCTCTAGAAAGAAGGAGTTAACAGCTGGTTAGAACAGTTTTAACCTACAAAATAAGTATTTTCTACCAACTTGGTTTACATTTTTTATACAAGGTAAGAATAAGTAATTATGCTTTACATATTAAAATTCTGTTTCTTACAAATACATGCCCAAGATACAGATTATATAAAGCCCTAAGATACTAGATTTGGCATTAAAACAAATGTTTATTTCAAATCTCCGCAAAATTATAATGAATAAATGCCCTTCCTTTGTACGGAAATATGATTCTTTATAATGTTAACAAAAAGAAACTGATAATTTGTACCAATAGAAGAGAGAAACACACAGGCTAAATGTCTTCTTATGGGGACAGGGGTTGGAACCTATCTTGCCTTCACTCTCAAGATTAACGACGCAAATTAAGCTTTTTGAACACCACTCTTGTGGGGGTACCCATACGCTGATCTAGAAATTAAAGCTTCATAGTTCCAATTCTAGATCTATTACTGCCAGTTTCTCTCTGGCTTTAGCCTTTGAGAACCTGTTTAAGGATACATAAGTAATCCAGAGCTGTGAAGAGTTAAAAGGCCAGCTTCTTCAATGAACTCACTCTCTCTGGGTCACCTGCAACCAATAATTGGGTACTTTATAATGACGCAGGAAAGATCCGAGTGGATGATGAGTTTCAAAGGCCCTGTTCATTTAGGAACCAACTCTCTCTGGATTCTCCTGCTGAGTTCCAGCAGGGTGATAGGCTGAAATCCCACCCACAAGCAAGACACCTGTGTAACACCAACTCAGCATGGCTGAAGAAGGCTGAAGAGAGAACCTCATTAAATGGAAGAATCTGCTGATATAGCTGACCTCCACACATTCATACAGTAAGACAGCAGGAGATAGGATCATCAGCCAAATTATAACATCCATGTCAATATTGTTAAAGAAATAAGCTCAAAGCAGTTGATTCTGCTACAATTACACTTTTTGTCCAATTTTTCATGCCACAAAAATGAGGAAAATAAACCATTCATGGTCTAAGTAGCCAAGAGGAAAAAAATAGATTCATGGCTTGGAAAGGCAAAGTCTAGGCATTCCTTCCAAAACTGATGTGTTAAAATCAGCACTGATGTTTGTTTTTTTACACCTAGGATTTTTAGCCTGAGTGTGTAGGTTGAGGCCAAGTCCCTCTGCAGGAAAGAGCTTATTTTTAAACTCACAAAATGTCAATCATGAAAATCTACTTCAACTTTAGCAAAAAGAAAAAAAATCAACAAAAAGTATACTCTGTATGCTGGGATTCCAAGGTTCCAACATGCCGCTACAAATCTCTAGGGGGTTTCTTTCTTCTGATAATTCTAGAGCCTGTTACCATAGAAAGGCATTTCTTCAATGGCTGGTTGTAGTTAGTTCATGTTTTTCAATCAAAATTTGCAAATGTATTTGTTGCTGTATAGTGATTGTTTTGCAAAATAAAATTGCTTGTCACCTAACTTATAGTTTCAGATTGTTTCTTCTCTGGGAAAAAAAAAATATTACACACACACACACACACACACATTGCTCAGTCCAACCAAGGAAAAATTATGATGAGAATGCTACAGTTATCTCCCCACCATGTGTCAGGCTTTATCTACTACTGTATTTAGCAGGATGCTATCTGTTGCAAGTGACAGAAACTGAAATCAAATTGGCTTAATCATAAAGGCAAATTTATTGGCTCAAGTAACCAACAAGGCAGACCTCAGGCATGGATGGATCCAGGCATTTAAAAGATATTAAGAATCTTTCTTTTTCCAAATCTTAGCCCTGCTTCTTCTGTGTTAGTTTTATTCTAAAGGCAAGCACCCCTTTCATGATAGTCACTGGGGAGCTCCAGGTTTCACAACCCACCAAAGAAAGCCTCTTTCCCACTAGCACTAGCCAAGATCTCGGGTCTGAAAATCATTGAACCTTGGGTCACCTGCTCACTTCTGCTGATTACCCATGGTTGGGTCACATTCTTTTCTCTATCACAGGTGGTTGGGGTAGGAGGAAAGTAAAGGGAGAAGGAGCCTCTTCTGAACTACATAAACTAATCATGAAGAGGAAATGTTCCCTTCTAAGTAAATGTTCCCTCCTAAGTAAAGTCAGGCTGCTACTGCCAGAAGAGAGAGGAACTGATTCTGTGCAGGTCATAAAGCAGACATCCTGTAGGTCCACACACCCTATTCTCTATCTTTATTCAATCTTTTAGCTCCCTGCTACTCAAGTTGTGTTCAGCCTTTACCTGGGACCTTGTTAGACATACAAATTCCCATGCTCCACCCCTGGCCGACTTACAGCATTCCCCTAGAAGAATCATCTGCGCATTAAAGTTTTAGAAGCATTCAGCTCGTCTAGTCCAAGGAGAAAGATCCACAGCAGCCTGCTAATAGGTAAGAATCATTTCTAAGACTACAGGAGGTAATATCACGAAGTCTGATGTCAAAGAGTCTAGGTATCAAGTGGTAGAAACTTGCGACTGTTGGAAGGAATGTCTTTTGTGTTGGAGGTTTGCCAGACCTACCACTCTAACTTGGCTGAAACCTACTTCTACCAATGGAGTCATCATCTTGCATTCCGTTTTCCTTTGCTAATAATGTGGATTTGGTACTAGATAGCCAACATAATTAGATTTTCTCTTTAATAGTTTTTTTTTTAATTCGTATCCATGTTTCCCTTCAAGGAAGTCTCAAAACTACACGGGATTTAGACATTTATTTGTCTGGTGGCATGAATCACAAGAAAGTCTTCATTTTCTTTTTTATTAATTAACAAGGCAAAGATTTTGCTTGACTTGAGAAGAGACAAGTAACTCAGATATAATGTAGGATTATAAAAATAACCCTCTATGTAGCTTATGTAGAGGAAAAAATATACTCCTCTTTTACGATAAGGCCCTTGTAGAACTTTGTCAAAAGTACACAGTCCAGCAACCCAAAATTGTTTCAAAACACTGTCCTTTACTAGGTTTTCTTGAGTATGTTGAAGAAGCGTCACAGGCACACTCCAAAAAGCCCTATTTTTTTTTCTTTCGTGCCTTTTATCACAAATATACCACAGCTGTTCCCATTTCTCAAATTCCATTAAAAATCTCCTGCCTCAGGCCTGGTTGAGGTAATAGAACTATGGCCTCCAGATGTGCTTTGTTTGGCCAGCACAGTGTTTTCAAACTCAAGAAAGTTCACAGACTCACACACACTCTCTCAGATTTGGATCTTTCAAAAGTTAAACGATTTGGCAACCAGGAGCCTGCATTCATGATATCAATTGGCCGGGGCTGGTCTGTGAATGATGACATGAGTTTGGTCCCTGCACTTGGACACAGTCCCCACCCAAGCCAGTTAATACTCTCAGACAACTTGCTTTCACTCGTGACTGCAGGTGCTAGACCCTACAGATCTGGTTTGTAACCTCAGGTTTAGACCCACTCATTTTTCCCTCCCTCCCAAGTTTTTCCTCATTCTGTGAAACAAAAACCCAAAAGAAAAAAACTCCTAATCCTAAAGTGGGGGAGAGAAGGGTCTGGTTGGATAGGTCAAATCAGGATCCTCAGGGAGACTGGGAGCCTGAGGAACCAATGTTTAATAGACTTTTGCCCTATCTTAAGAAAGAAGAAAAGAAATCTTTAATATATTTATTTGACAGTAACCACTGGTAATTTTCACGTCCGTGAAAAATACACTTAAGATTCTTTTCCCACCTATAT